TTTTTTTTCCGGTTTGTCTTTTTTTGGCCGGGGCTGGGTTTGAACCCACCACCTCCATTATATGGGGCTGGCACCCTACTTCTTTGAGAACTTTTTACTTTCTAAGTGTTCTTATTCTTTTTGCTTTTGTTGTTAATGTAATAGATTTATAATGTGGCAGCTTACAAGGCGCTACATTGTCTGGCCTTTGCCTTAGTCGCCAGCTTCATCTTGTTCCCCTTATTCTCTGTTTTAGTTCCAGTGGCTTTCCAGGGTTTTGAAAAATCATGTTCCCTACCATCAAAGGGCCTTTGCACTTACTGTGTACAATTTCTCTCCATTCCACTTTACCTACTTGCTTCTTATTTTTTAGCTCACAACTCATTGGTCACCTCTTCAAATTAGCCTTCCCTGAGCACACTAGCCGGCCAGGCCTCATTATATGCTGTCATAACTCCATGCAATTTGCATTCTTTCCAATCAGACCATTAATCCAGCAATCATGTATGTTTTTTTTCTAGTGTTAATAAAAAAAAAAAACACTTGGTGCATAATAGCTGTTCATTACATGAATACATTAAAAACAGAATAGATAAGTAAGTTCATCCAAAGGGACATTATAAAGTGAACATAACAGTAGGCCAAGATTTGAACCCTGAAGAAAGACTGAGGGGCTGGACAAAGGAGGTAGAGGTGCTGAAGGAGATGGAGCAGAACCAGCCAAAGAGGGAGGGGACACCAGGAAAGCACGGTGTCATGGAACATCTGCAGGAGAATGGGTGCTGCTGTCCGAAATAAAAGCAAGAATATAGGGTTTGAAAAGTGGCTTTTGGGGCTAATAACAGAAGTAGTTGGTAATTAATAGCTGAGCATTGTGGTGGGTGCCTATAGTCCTAGCTACTCGGGAGGCTGAGACAGGAGGATCACTGGAGCCCAGGAGTTTGTGGTTGCTCTGAACTATGATGCTGCAGCATTCTAACCAGGGTGACAGAGTAAGACTCTTGTCTCAAAAAAAAAAAAAGGAGTAGAAGAAGTAGTTGGTAATTGAATGGCGTCAAGGTGGGGGGGAGGGCGGTAAGAGGGGAATGGAAGGGAGATTAAAGAAGGTGAAGTAATGTGGGTAGATGATTCTTTGAAGAAACTTAATAAGAGTGAAAGCTAGAAGAGAACGTCAAAGTCCAAGATCTTTTTGTAGTTTGTTTTTTACTTTATTTTCACATTTGAGAGAGAAGCAGCATACAGTACTTAAGTAAAGAACACAGGGAGAATATTTTTAAAAACTAAGAATCAGGAGGGATAATTATCAGTAAGATGGGTCAGTTATGTGTCCTTTTTAATCCCTGTGATAGCTTACAGATGCGATAAATATCCTCCTCTGTGAAGTGGTGATCTCTTTAATTAGTGAGGGGCTTGAGGCATGCAAGATGGGATAGAATTATAAGCAGAGGTAACCCTTCAAATTTGATAGATAGCAGGGGGCTGGGATGGGAATGGGTGTAAATGTTGATAGGTGGGAGACTAGCGTGTCATTAAAGAACATGGGTATGGGAAAGTCTAATGGCAGATCTCAGGTTATAGCTCTGTTGCCTTTAAAAATTCCAAGAAGTAATAACTTCTTTCAGTTTATTTCCTTTTTAAATGGGAGTAATGATAGGATTGCAGGATAATAGTATCATCATTGTGATTAGTCAGTGTGTAAACTAAGATTGCCTAAACCTCATTCATTTTTTAGTGTTAATAAGCAGTAATGGTACTGTTAGTGGGAATGTAAATTAGTACAGTCATTATCGAAAACAGTATGGAGGTTCTTCCAAAAACTAAAAATGGTACTATATAAGATATGTAATCCTGTGTATACCCGAAGGGAAGGAAGTCAGTATGTTGAACAGATATCTGCACTCCCATGTTTATTGGAGCACTATTCACAATAGTCAAGATATGGAATCAGCCTGAGTGTCCCTCAAGAGATGAATGGATAAAGAAAATGTGGTCTATATACATAATGGGATACTTTGTAGCCATAAGAAGGATGAAATTCTGTCATTGATAGCCAGTGATGAGCTTGGAGGACATTATTTAAATGAATTAAGCCAGGCATAGAAAGATACATACTGCTTATTCTCACTCATATGCAGAAGTTAAAACAATCTCATAGGAGTAGAATAGTGTGGTACTAGGGTAGGGGGAAGCAGAGAATAGCTAAAGATTCATTAGTGGTATAACAGTACAGCTAAGGAGGAGAAATAAGTTTCTAGTGTTCTATAGCACTAGATATAATGAATTACCAATTTACTAAATATTTTTTAAAAACTGTATGAGTGGATTTTTAATGTTCCAAACACAATGATAAATGTTTGAGTGATGGATATGCTAACACCCTGATTTGAGCATTACATGTATATACATATCAAAATATTACACTCTACCCCATCCATAAAATTTTGTGTTAATTACAAATAATAAACAAAATAAAATAATCAAAACACATGGTAATGAGAAATGGGTCCTCTGGATGGTAGCAAGCAAGGGGGACTCAGGATGAGAAAAAGGCTAATGTCCTGGGGCCAGACTTCAAAAATGTCTTCATAAGGCACAACTGTTGTCAACCGTGAACCGCTAAGGGGTTTTACAAGACAATTACATCTGATTTATGTGGTAGAAAAAGAAAAAGATAGCTGTGTAGTTATTCCTGGTTGTAGTCCCAGCTACTGAGAGGCTGAGCCAGGAAGATCACTTGTGCCTGAAGTTTGAGGTTGCAGTGAAGTTTGATTATGCGCTGACTCTAGGCCTGGTGACAGAACAAGACTGTCCAAAAGAAAAAAAAAAAGAAGAAAGAAATTTAGTTTTTTTCTGCATATAAAGAGTATGTAAGATGACTTACACAGAGAGATCATCTAACTGCAGCATGGCCCCACTGGAATATACACTTTGTAATCACAACGAAGTATGAATTAGAGTTATCTCCAAGGTATACAATCTTAAGACAAGATCCACTTGACAGTGAATAGAGCATTAATTCTTAATGTTTAGCACCTCATCCTCCTCAGCTGTAAAATGACAAACTGTTATCTACTTTTGATGCCTGTGGTGGGTAACAAGGTGGTGATGTGTGTTGTCCGGTTGGTATGCAGCGCCTGACAGTGAGGTCAGCCATCATCTTAGTGGGATTCCCATTAATGTATCCTACTCTTCCCATAAAATGGGACAAACTTCCTGAAGGACTTTTACTTGATGTATTCAGTTAGGTATTAGTATTGAGTTATGAGCCAGTTGTTTGGCAGTGATAAATAGTAGAAGGAAAAGTAATTGGCAGATTCTCTGCAAGCAACTGTATTTACTTATGTTTTTGATCAAATAGCTATTGAGTGATAGCAGAACAAGGTATATCCCTGAAATACTGGATTCTGTTTTACACATTGAAAGGATTTTGTTCTAATGGAACATGACTACTGGTAGTGAGCAGATATGCATGCAGCCCTGTAAACAGGGCACTTTTTTGTAGGCTTATGAGTGATAGAGTGCACTTTCTAGGATATTCTGTATAATTGTGAGAGGACCAAAAGTACAGTAATGTCTTTTCCCACATCCTAATTTGCAGGCAAGTGCAAGGTGAATCCTTTTGGGGTGTTTTTGTTTTGTGCATTTATGCAGGTAAATGGAGTGTTGTGTAGTAAACAGAACCTGGGCTTTGTAGCCTCAGATCTGTGTCACCTTATCACCTCATGACATTGAGAAAGTTAACCTTTCTGAGCCTTAACTTCCTCGTCTTCCCCTGTAGCATTGTTGAAAAGAGAAAATAAAAACCAGTATTATATAGAGTACATATATGGCCTGGCATTTTTTAAAGACAAAGAATAGATATATACATATAGATAGATAGATAGATAGATAGATATAGAATATATATATTACAAGGAAATTACAAGACATTTCATTGTAAGGAAATATATATATATATATATATATATATATATATCTTCTTTGTCTTTAAAAAATGCCAGGCCATCTATGTGTATATATATGCACATACACACACACCCCCCAAACTGAAAGCTTGGTGTTTTTCGTTTGCTCTTTTGAGCTGGAACTGTCTTAAGAGTGCCACAATTTTATTAACATGAAAAATTAAACTGACAACCAGAGCCATTATACATGTGTATGATTGTGAATGATTAGGTGTGAGTATAATATAACCCACTTATTTTGGGATACATTTTTTTTCTTTTTCTCTTTTTCAATAAAAGCAGGTTGTGTGGAACGGATACTTTTGTTTTTAATAGCTCACTGCAACCTCAAAATCCTGTGTTCAAGTGATCCTCCTGCCTCAGCCTCTGAGTATCTGGCCTACAGATGCACTGTGCCTGGCTAATTTTTCGACTTTTTGCAGAGATAGTCTTGCTATGTTACTGGTCTTGAATTCCTGGGCTCAGGCAATTCTCTAACCTTGGCCTCTCAAAGTCCTAGGATTATAAGCATGAGCCTTCACATCTGGCCTATTTTAAATACTCTTAAAGGCAGCGTGCCTTTTAGGTAAATGTATTTAGAGGCACAAGCAAGCCATTTAGGGATAAGCTTGGAAAATGAATTGGCAGGTGAAGTTGACTGTAATCCTCATTTTCATCTACTGGGTGTATTCACAAAGTAACAGGAAAGCATGTTCTCAATAGTTTACTGATTCAAAAGGAAATCACAAGATTTCATTGTAAGGAATTGTATACTAAAGTGCTTGTATTTAAGAACAGTTACTCAGGGGTGGCGCCTGTGGCTCAAAGGAGTAGGGTGCCAGCCCCATATGTGAGAGGTGGCACCAGGCACCAGGCCAAAAACTGCAAAGAGAAAATCAGTTACTGTCTCAAAGGAAAAAAAGTTACCTTTTATATTTAAGTTTTACTCAGTATGATCAACATTAATATTACACTGTATTCAAACATAGTGAATGATAGTATTCTGTGATTATTTAAATTTTTAACTTTTAAGTTCCTCACAATAAATTTTATGGATTACTGAAGTGAATTAGTTTGCGATTCTATCCTTAGGTATTTTGTTTTCTTTTTTTCCTTTTTCATTCAGGTGGATAGTGGCTATGGTGTGCAGAATTGTGGAAGCAGTATTATGGATACAGTTGGAGTAGAAAGTTACTGCAAAGAAAGAGATGTACAGACTTTATAAATGGGAGACTAAATCTCAAGTTCTTAATATAAAGGTATGGAGAAAATAGAAAGCTTAATATATTTACTACGTGTGACTTTTTGTGCCATCTGTTTTTCCTCTATTTCGTTTAAAGTTGTGTTAATTATCATTTATGCTTCATTTACCTTCAGTTTATTTAACAGTGGGAGAGGATGGTTTTTAAATCAAAACACTTCAGTTTTCAAACTTTTCCACAATGGGAGAGTTAAGAGATTGTAGAGAGGGAGAACTAGTTAAACTTGAGAATGGTGCTTAAAATCATTTCCCAAAGATTACAGGGAAATAAAACTGTTAGAGATTTTTTGCTTCTAATATTGATTTTGCTGTCTTTGAAGTATTTCAAAAAGCCATAGGAAAGCTATACATAAAAAAAATTTCATTATAGAGAATAGTACAGTTGGGAAGATTGTATCAAACTAAAAGCAAGAAAAGGCTGTTTCCCTAAAATCTAATAGCCTTTACAGGTTTTGTTTGCTGAACAAGGTAACATAAGTTACTTGGTATAAACAAGAGGACATTCCCTGTACTGAACCTTCTAGATATAATGGTTATAATTATCTATTCATACATGATTTTAGACAGTAGCGAGAATAATCTTTGATTTTTATTTGCTGATTTATTCACGAACACTAAAACAGCAAATGTGCGACTAATGAAGTTTAATGGGGAGCCGCCTTAATTTCCCTTTCCTCCATTCTGCCTTGCTGTTAAATGTAATGTCAAACAGGTCTCTTCTCAGATTAACTTGAACAAAGCCCATCCTGTTTCAGTAGTTGGGATTATAGTTATCTGTCTAAACATAAGTGGATATTAAGAAAGGATTCTTTCTGAGACAGAATATTGATCTATAAAAAAATGCTATAATTACTATTCTCATAGAGTAAAGCTAGAGAAATCTGCATTCAAGTTTTTTTTTTTGCGGTTTTTGGCCGGGGCTGGGTTTGAACCCGGCACCTCTAGCATATGGGGCCAGCGCCTTACTCCTTTGAGCCAGAGGTGCTACCCCTGCATTCAAGTTTTAAAAACAATTCAGATAATAATTACATCCTTGAAATAGTCCTATTTAAACTGAAAACAAGGTTATTTTCTTTTCACAGCAAGAACACAACCCAGGTGTTGATTAAAAGCGCAAGTCCTTCTCAGCAGCAATCCTTAGAATACCTCTATCAGAACCAAAGACTGTCCCAGAGGAGCACCTCACGTATTTTTATGCACAGCAATAATGTGATGATTTGGAAAGAGTTGGTTCAAGTGACATGCTTAGCTTTCTTCCCCTCCTTAATGTGAAAAATCAAGGGCTTAATTTAGTGACAAGGAACAGCACAAAAGCTCCTGGAACTTCAAATTACTGAATTACAAGTTTATATTTTTCACCAAAATTTTTACACTTACCCTGACTGATGTGTTGTGACCAACCTGATCGTCCCTGTGCTACAGGGTCAGTGAACTGTTAAACCTTACTAATAGCACTGAATTCAGCAGTTCTGAGAACATGTGAGAATACATAAAAAGTAAAGGCATATTTTACATTAAAAAACTTGTCAACAGACAGATCATAGTCTATGTGAAAGAAATGTTTAGATTCAAAACAAACATATTGAAAAGGTAAAAAGGAAGTTAAATGGGTTTCCTAAAACTTTAGTTCTTGAACTATTTGTTCATTTCTGTGGAGGAAATTTAGTCCCAGTTACTGATAACTGCTCTAGCTACTACTCTTAAAACTGTTGATGCTAGAAAGGTAGCGCTGGCAGCAACATCACATGTATTATCTGTGGGATAAATTTGTGGTGCCCAGAATAAAACATACCTCCGTCCCTAGAGTAGGGACATCCATTCCAGCTCAAACGTGGCTAAGAAGAGGAATAACCAGGAGAAACAATGAGGACCGGGAGACGCTGGAGTTCATGGAGACCGGGGGATACTGGATTTCGTGTAGAACTTAGATGTAATAGGGGACATATGAGTTCAATCACTGTGACTATTTTTGTAAACTTATATCTGCATTGGGAGCAGATGCGTATACATGTTTGGAAATATTCTTCGAGAACGTCTATGTTTACAAACCACCTTTTAAACTGTGTCCTTCAAAAGGAAATAAAGCATTTGTAGCCCTAGGAAATAAAGACATGTTATCACTGTGTCATTCTCTTCCTGCTCTGTAAGGTACTGCTTTCCTTGTAGGAGTCTGCAGAAGATGTGCCTTGTGTATCTGGCTCATCTCTTCACCACCACACTAACCATGAAAGCCCTTAGGTCCATGGCTAAAGATGACTGCATTGGAAAGTTGAGTCTTCAATCACATAGGCTTTAGACTCGATATAAATTTACCTAAAAACAGCCACTGTACGTAAGAGGAATACCAGGCTCTAAGGGTTTTTAAATAGCACAAGTCAACAAATAAATAACTAAACTAAGTAGTGACTATAACCTGGATTCAGAGTTCCTCCATCACTTACTACTTGATGTGGAAAAACTTAAATTTTCTCATCTGTTAAAAGGAGAAAATGGTCCTGCCTAGCGGGACTTTTTGAGTTTCAAGTAAAATATTCCATATGAGCTGCTTATATAAAAACTTACACTAGAAATAAAACATTCTAGATTACCAAAGAGGACTCGGGAAATAACAAGGTCTGTGACCATCTTGAACTACTCAATTTAAGACTAATGCCTGAATTAGGCCTTCCTTATACCTGAGCCACAAGAAAACAAACTTGGAAAGGTAACAGACATAAGGTCAGTCATAAAAGCCCCCTTTTCTCCACTGTTAGTTAACTATGGCCCAGAGGCAAAGAATTTTAGAGTGACTGGCTGGAGAGAAGTCAAAGGAATAATATTTTACTGACACATGAAAGTTAGTCACACCTACATTAACTGTATTTAACAGCAAGACTACTTATACCAGGATGATTCCATAAGATACTATAGCTGAAAAACTCCATTGCCTAGTGACATCACAGTGGTCACAGCATTGTAATGTGATTTTTATAAATTTAGCGTAGCCTAATTTACAGTGTTATAAAGTCTACAGTGATGTGTGGCAATGACATAGGCCTTCCCATTCACTCACCACTTACTGACTTACCCAGAGCAACTTCAGGTCCTGCAAGTTCCAGTATGGTAAGTGCCCTATATAGACACACTGTTTCTCACCTTTTCTTGCTGTATTTTTACGGTACCTTTTCTGCTTACATATGTTTACATACATAAATACCCTTGTGTTACAGCTGCGTACAGTAAGCTATAACAAATAGCCAATGGTAGCCATCCCATTTGGGTGTGAAGGTGTACTCTGATGTTCACACAGTGACACAGTTCTCAAAGCATTTCCCTGTTGTTAAGCAATAGATAAGTGCATCTGAAACAAATGTTCCGGTCCATAAATCGAGTGTTATTGGAATATAGCCATTCATGTTTACATGCTGCATATGGCTCCTAAAACTACAAGCCACAGAGCTGGGTACTGCAGGTGCAACACAGCATAGCCAGAAAGTCTAAAATGTTCTGGCTGACCCCTAAAGGGGGTCAGAAAAGGGCTGCTGACTACTGCTCTACTGTGTGAGTCACTGACCAATGGTACTTGGGCCAAAGGCTACTCAAGTCTACTCTCTCCCTTCAACTGAATCAAGTTCTGCTTCAATGTTTGAATGTTTTCCTCAGTAACAAGGAACTAGAAAAATAATTCAATGAAAATTAAGTGCTTAAATGACTATTTATATTGGGTATATTGTAATTATACCAACTTAGTTGTATTACTAATTTATTTGCCTATCTTACTACAAACTCCTTGAAGAAGGAGATAATTTACTTGACTTGTGATGAACCTGGTATGCTTTAAATGTTTTAGAAATTTAATAAGGAAAGTTAAGTGTTTTAAGGACATCCTATCCCAAAATATCTTGAAAATGTTTTAAGGACACCCTATCCCAAGATATCTTGAAAACACCAATTTAATCACTACTAAACTCTGGTTAGCAAGGGAAGTTAGTCTGTTCCCTTTAATATGTCCTTAAACAATTCCCCCCAACCCATATAATCACAATTTTAAAAGCCACTAATTATCTGGGGTTTTTTTTTTATTTGATAAGTAATAGGATATAAACATTTAAAGTACCATTTCTATTCTTTAAGCTCTAATGTTTTATTTGGGGAAGACACTGGAGCTAAAGATCAAGGACGATGATCACACTTCTTTCCTGGTAATAAAAAAACCCAACCATTTCTCCAGTCAGGTCAAATATCGTACTTCTTGCCTTTCTACCAATACCCAAATGTTTACAGCTGTTCAAGGAGATTTAAAAAAAAAACAAACACACAGTAAGAAAACAATTAGGTAAATTAAAAATGGCAAACCAGAGATTACATACTAAACAGTGACAGCTTTCAAGATTTAGAAAGAAGAAATTGTTCTTTGCTTCTAAAAATGTCCTGTTCTCTATAAGAAATGATAGCTTTTTTTCCTACCAATATTAAACAAATCAATGTACTTATGCAAAATTACGGGGCTGCTCAATGAGCAGATGAGTGCTCCATTTAAATGATCTTTACAGATCTTTGAAGTTGCTATCCTGTCACCACATTTAAGTGATGGATATTCAATTGGATTCTTCTGCATAAATAGTCCTGTTTAATCCAGAAATGAAGTAGTATGATAGGACAGACTTACAGTTCAATAAAAATGCAAATTTTTAAAATTACCAACATATATTTAAAAAGTAACAAACTGTATCACACACTTAGAAGTGTTCTCTCAAGTTTTTCTTTTAAAAAGGAAATCGGTTTTGGAAGTATTTTTGTTGAATATAGCTAGCTATTTTTTCAGTTTCATCTTCTTTCTCTCTGGTTCATTAAGGTCCATATTCGAATTATCTGTAGAAAAGCTTATTCCTGGTATCTAAAGAAATGCAAATGGGAGAAAATAAGGTGATTAGAAACATAAAATAAGAAATCTCATCAACTTCCCCTTTACTACTTTAACGTTTAAAAGAATGTAAGAGTAGAGAGGGAAAAGGGGTTAACAAAAGGTTTTACAAAGTTAATATACTTAACACAGTGACAGTGGTTCAGAAACGTAAAAGGAGACATGATCTCAATAGATGAGAAGCCTGTCACTGGGGAAGAGTGTTTTTCACTGAACATCCTTGCCTATGTCCAATTTTCTCTAGTGGAGCCACTGTGACTGACGGCATAGGGACCTCTGATCTATCAGGGCAGGGGCAGTATCCTCAAAAGTTCATCTTCAAAAGTGCACATTTCAAAACTCCTGGCGTTAAAGGACCAGGCAGGAGAACTGAAAGACCTTTGATTTTGGCACGAGAGCCCTCAGAAGAATTTTCGGAGGTCTGGCATGTTCTTCAGATAGCCCAAGCAAGTTAGTGAGGGTATGCTATGGAAATACAGCAGAACTTCTGTAAGCTGACCACCCAAGTGACTGTACCAAACTGCTCAACAGACAGAGGTAATCACATAGGCAGCTAAGCTTTCCATACTGATACGTATATGGGGTGCGTGTCTTGTCTATAAAAATTAAGTCAACTTAAGGAGGCGGTAAGTGCAGGGAGGTGATCAGCTATGGACGTTCTACTATATTTGGCCTCCACACTAACAGGATTCCTTATAACATTAAACAGAAATAACTATGTCCCTCTTTTTGACAAAATATATACCATTTCTATCATCACAACATGGAAATTTTAAGTTTGGTCTTACCTGTGGTTCTACCAGGGACATTCTGATTTTTTGATGCTGAAGATTAGATGAGTCTAACATGATTTTTACTTTAACTTTGTCAAATATATGGAATTCTGCATCTTCTACTTTAAGTGAAGGTATCTAAACCAAAAACATTTTGTCACTATTATTTTCTTACATTTGAGGCTTTGTTCTAATTCTTTAGTTTATCCTTCATAGTAATTTAAAAGTTTAAATTTCAAAATTTCTATATTAATAACCATCTGGGTATTTGATATAACAAAAACCGCAAATAAGTAATCCAACATAAATATGACTTTTCCTTTCATTAATGGATCTCAATACATATTCATCCTGTTTCTCACCCTACTATTAGCAAACTGTTGGTCTAATAGAAGAGCATAAATGTACTTTTTTTTTTAAGTTCCCAGATGCCATTAAGAAGCCATAAAGATACTTTGGATGGAATTTACTCTTCACTGTTTTCAGAGCTGCAGTTATAAAGTTAGGGGAGTGGGGAGTAAGTCAGACACTAAAAGTCACTTTTTAAAGATTCTTTCCCTGATACAGACACAGCCTTTTATTCCTTTACTCTGCCTGTCTACCTGGGGCAAAACTATATGATATTAAAAAAAAAAAAAAAGGACAAGAGTATGTGGGAACATACACAGATGTGAGAAATTGTGAGTAAAACTACAGATTCGTTGGCATAATTAAATGTAGATCTTCTGTCATATAGAGATTTGGACAAATTACATAGGGTACAAAAAACAATTTTATGAGTGCCCCCTCAAAAGCAAACGAAAACATTAGAAATACTGTACCTCATCGTCATAAATAAGCCGTGGCTTTGGCTTGTCCTTTTCTTCAAAAAAGACTGTACCTTCTAAACCATACTTTGGAATTAACACGACAATAGCATTCTTTCTTACAAACAGAATATAGGCTTCTTCACTTATTATTCCTTTGCTTTTGAAAAACAACTGTAAAATAACATACAATCTTAATAAAAATAGTCTTAAAATATTTCGCAAGTTAACAAAATTTCTTTGAAATGAAAAAACAAACAGAACTGCATCTCTTTCATTATTGATAGAAGGCAAATACCTGGGTATGAAAAGCCACTGACGCACGCTGGGCGTATTGAGCCATTTTGTGCCGGAAATTGAGATTTTTACATATATCCGCAAGCTTGTGTTTGTCTGTCAGCTCTGGATAGGTACAGTCAGCCCCGATAGCCACAGCCAACAGTCGATGAACAATGATGTCTGCATATCTAGATGCATGAAGGAGAAATAAGAACCATGATGTGTTAGTATTAAAATGTCATTTAAAAATTCAAAATTAACTAGTTTCTATCTCTTAATTTCAAAAGAAAAAATACCTTCTGATGGGTGATGTAAAATGTGTGTATATTGGGGACGCTAAGCCGTAGTGATGAAAATCATTATCCATCCCAGAACAGAAGTACACCGCTTGCATCATACAGCGAGTGGCTAATATTCTTAACAGTGTATTTAGATAGGGGAAAGCAGGAGACTCAGCCCGGTCCAAAGAGTCAGCCA